GGCTTTAATCAAATATATTATTGACACACAAGAATTCTGATATCTCGGGTTTTGACTCTATAAAAATAAAAAAAATTAAATGCCAAAATGTGGGACTAAGAAAAAAAAGTTAAATTAGTAAAATAATCATGAGATAAAAAATAAAAGGCTCAAAATGACTACTTTTCATAAAAATAAGTGAACATAAAAAATTTTGGCCTCTTTTATTAAAACGACCATTTCGCATTTCCGAGGAAGGTTTCAAGGCTATTTCAATAAAAGGAGCGGACGCAAGGGTAACACTGGTCAAAAGGGATAAAACTAACAAAGTGACTTTATTATTATTATTATTATTATTATTATTATTATTATTATTATTATTATTATTATTATTTGAAAAAAATAATTCATAGACATTTTTTAATGTTTTTAAAACAAAAAATGGGGTTGAACCCGATGAAGGCTGCCTACGTATCTCACATCCGGTGAGAATCAAACCCGCGTAGTTCGGTTAAAATAAATAAATAAAAATTATTTTAAAAATTATGATTTTACACACCAGAATCCTTCAAAATTTTATTTAAAAAAAACTGGTACTTCATGAAAACTTGGAGGAAATTTTCTCTTTCTCTCTCTTCTGTTAAATCAATCTATCCTAAAGCCGGTCAACATTTGAGTAAAGCCTACAAAATAATGTTACATATAGCATAGAAATATGAATATATTGGTCTGAAAAAATTAGTATTTGTCCTAGACGGGCCCGGCTCCTGTGTCGAGTCCCGCTAAGTCCAATGCACATTATACAAATAAAGCGTAGCCTACTAGGGATATTCATTGCTTGTGGCTTGTTCTTCTAAGTTTTCAAATCCTAAAGGAAGTGGTATCTAGACCTGGCTTACCCGAGTGGACAACCCGAGCCGAGGAGCATCAAGCGTCACCAGTAGTAGAACAACACTAGCTAGCTAACGGCTCTCCCGCCTAAATATGTGTGACTAAATCCTTCACCATAAGCTGGTAGGCTAACTGTTTTATCTCAGGATAGAAATTTTGTGATGCTGGTAGGCAAACACAACATAACTACCTATCAGAAGACTCAGAGTGGTGCAAGAGAAGATACACTTTATATCACAGTTCAAATAAATATTAAAGCGGTAAACAAGTGACAAATAGTACACTAGGCTCCCAAACACAATAATATCCAAAATATGATAAAAGTCAAACACGAATCAATGTAAAAAGCTCGAATTCTAATTAATTATCCCCAGCAGAGTCTCAAGAGCTGTCACACCTCTTTTTCCCCGCACAGCCCTATTACGAGGTTGAGTTAGAAGAGTTTTTTCCAATTGAAGTGATATTTTGAAAAGGGATTATTTATTATTTGGAGTCGCCACTTGAAATTGAGTTTTGGTGCTCCAAGTCATCTTTTATCTTGAATCCCTTATCAAAAGGAAGGTTTAACTCTTAATTTATGTTCTACGAAAATAGAAGAGTGAGTAAGAAATTCTGTTGACCGAGGATAAGGTATAAGGCACCCCTCGAATCCCGTAGTTCTAGCACGGTCGATTTATTGACTAATGTAAGGCTAAAATTAATTTTTGGCTATTCTTTTATTTTATTGATTATGACTTGTCTATTACCACTTCACTTAATTTATTATATTTTATTGATTCTTTTGACCTAGATGCGGTATGCACACAAGGTATTCCTTTAAAGGTAGATGTTAAACCAAGGTACAGAATGTACACATGGTTAAAACATAATTATTTTAAATTTAAAGGCATCGAGATGCGAGAATACGCACATGACCCTTTTAGTACTTAAGCATATCAATCCAAAGTTCGGGTATGAACACATGGGCTAATATTTAAAGTACATCTAAAATTTTTCTAGAGGTTTAGAGTATTCCGTTTATTTGACTCATCTCGGTACTTTACAAATATTTTACTCTTACCATGCTAATTATTTTACTTCTTGCAACGATCATATACCAAACAAGCTTCAATATTTGAACAGACATATATCCCAACCCATTAATCTGTCATAAAGCAAAAAAATGGATAACAAATATGAAGCCATCAAACATGATACGAAACAATTCTTCTACCAAAGCACACGTCAATATAAACAGATTCCATATTCACATTTTGACATTTTGAAAAATATAGAACTTTATCTTACGTTCTAATAAGAAAATAAGTATTTATCTTTAAAAAATCGAAATGTAATATGTGACTAAAACAAATAAACTTGCACTAAAGAATACAATCAGTTTGTCAAAACCGAATATTAAATTCTTTGACTCAATAATTTAATTCATTAAATCTATTTGACGGTAAGTATATTGTCAATACAAACTAATTCCAAAACTCAAAGATTATTTTATATCCAGGAGAGTAAAATAAATGTATCGAATACCATAACCGAACATACTAGATTTACCAACGGATTCTTAAAAAATTTTGTCAACTTACTAAACTTGTTTGATAAAAGTCCTTTGATTAATACACTGACTTATCAAAAACATTTGACCTATTTATTAAAATTAATTAATATTATCAACCCCAAATTTGATTTACTTATTCAAAATAAAATCGAGCTTTACAAACTATATAAGCTTAACTAATTAAGAATAACATGTTAACTCTCATTATATCTTGCCTCCAAATTCATGAATTAGTATAAAAGTATTTTTAACATATTAAATATTACATACAAAGAGGAATAACAAACTTTAGCCACTTTTCTCTATCTTACCAGAGAAAAAGAAAAGATAGCAAAAAAATAATTCTAACAAAAACTTACAAACAAATTAAAGGAAATTTTCAGACTTAAGAAGACATAGATCTCATATATCATGTTTAAACTATACAGAGGAGATTGAGTGTTACCTTTTGTAATCTTTTAATCTGTTGAGTTGAACCCGTGAACTTAAAATCACGAAGGATACTTCGATTTTTTACTCCGAACCTACTAAGTCCACCAACCAGTTTATCTCAAAGTAATTTTCACTCTAAAAAAATAATGCTAGTTTTTCTTAGTTGCTATTTTTTTCTCTATCTGATTGCCTTTTTCTTCTACTAAAGTGTGTGTGCTATATATAGAATATTTGTGTGTGTGACGAATATGTAGGTTAAGGAGATGAATGGGGGAAGTGGAGAATAGGATGTGAGGGAGTTAGGATTAATGTGAGCATTATGAGAGAATTAGGGAAATGGGGATTGGAAGGAGAAAGTCGTGGTGTTAGACTGTTAGTTAGGATAGGAAGAAATCATTTTTTATTTATTTTCTTATCCTTTTTTTTTTTTAAGAAAAGCAAAAGCCAATTAACAAGACTTAATAATCAAATATTAAAAGAAAAAAAATAACTACTGATAATAATATCATATATCTCTGAAAGAAATTACTTTAAAAAAAGTACTACATACTTAGGTCTATAATACTAAAAGAAACGTACTTATTTTTTATAAGATAAAACAAAATACCTAAGTAAGAATCTAATTAACTATATATTAAAAAGATATAAGAAAATTAAATATTTAAACTATAATTTAAATGACACTAAAAAAAATACCATAACTTACATATTAAAAATTCTAATTAAAAAAAATCAAATATTTTTTGTAAATTTTCTTTTTCTCTTTACAAATAGAAATAAAAAATTTATTCTAAAAGTGTGAATATTTCTGTAGTTTTTATAAGCTCTACTAAAAGTGAGATAAAGGTTTGAAATATCAAAATTAGACATAAAATACATATTTACAGTAAAATAGTATAGAATTTGGTTGTGGTCAAAAATTAGTTGTTCACAGTTATTCTGTTCTAGTTTGAGAGGAAATAATTTGTAACCTCGAATACAATGAATGGATTAAATTTCTTTAAGGACATGTAGTGAAGTCTACAGTCTCGAAATACATTTATCACTAGCATTTCTGCTAGTTTGTGAAAGACAGGAATAACAATAACAGCAATAGAACATCTCGTTGAGCTTCTGTGGAGACTGCTGGTTGCAGTTTCAAACTAAAAGAATTATATAATATTTTCTGGCAATATCAAATTATCCGTCTGATTATCCATTTTTTCTTTTTAAAAATTTTCTTTTCTTCTAAAGTTATATTTTGTTCTTTACTTTCTCTGATACGCCCTGACTAATCAAAAGCCTCAAGGTATCTCATGATGTTGTTCTTTTGTGTGTATATGTGTAACCGTTGTAACATATGGACTTCCCATTTTGGCCAAGTATTGGGTCGTTTTGAACATCTCTTTGTGATGTTTAGGGTGAAAAGGGAGCTCATGTTCTTGTTGTTCCAGAACTTTCTGACTTCATTTTATCAATTATCAGCATTGGACAAGGTAATGGTTTGCATATTTCTTCCATTAACAGTATCTTCTTCTCCATTGGTCATCTTAGTACTTTAGTCTCTGCTTCAGGAGATCTCATTTGCATTTCTACAGGTAGTTGGATCTTTCCCAAAGCTGAAATTGGTTGGTCAATGGAAAATATGTACTATACTTTTTTTCATGGTTATGTTATAGGGTGGGAGAGTTATGCTACGAGAATTGAGTTGCTTGATTACTTTTCTCTTATACACAAGCACGTATACCGTGGTTGTGTTTGGTACTTTGTACTGAACTTTCCAAAAGTCTTTTTGTATTTTCTGTTACCATTCCAAAAAAAATCTTTTTCTACTTTCAGGAGCTTTGTTATCTTCGAATTTCCAAAATCTTTTACACCAAATGAAAGAATTTAACTTGCTTCCTTTATGCATCTATATGATTTTCCATCATAACTCTTTATGTCCCTATTTTATTCCACTTGCTTGTACCAGCCGATTAACGTTAAATTTTCTTATATTATTTATGTCTCACAAATACTGTATTGACCAAAACCGTCCCCTATTTTCACGTGATAATAAAGCAATAATAGGACTAAAAATGTTATTCCTTGTCTTTTTTTTCACTGACCATTGAGTTCATTTATTGATAAATAAACATATGTTCTGCTATTCCATATTATTATCACATATTGGCAGAGAAATAAACAGAGAATCCCAAAGCTCACAGAGCATAATTTTTTTTTAAAAAATCTTGAAAAAGTAAGTCAAAGATGGAACTGAAACTATAGCATCACCAATTTAGCCCCTGGTGGCAACCTCTCTTCAAGTTGCTTGCTCTGCTTTTCCATTAATGTAGCAGCCATTTCCTTAACCTTGTAGTGATGCCTGTCATTAGTAGGCTGTAGGATCATCTTCTTAAGAGACTCTCCAATTCCAAGTAAATGCAAGGCAAGGTTAAAATCACTTCTACATCCTGTAAAACCAATTATCTTCACCACCTTTAGATGGTTGTGAACAATACGGGTAGCCCGCCAAGCTGTACGTTCAACATGACGGTGAATATCCATACGCTGCGACCAAAAAGAAAAAAAGAACAACAATCAGGACGAAATATCTCGGATCTATTATACAGGGTAACGGGGAGATCGGCGAGGATGCCACGCATCGTATTGGATTAATGGTTTAACCGACCCTGCTGTATGGGGCGGAGTGCAGGGGCGGATTTAGGGGGCAGAAGGGGGTTCGGAACCCCCTTCGCCGAAAAATTATACTGCAAATATAAGTTAAAATCTATTTTTTATCTATATATTATGTTTTGAATCTCCTTGGCACAGCCCGAAAGCATAGCTTAGTGGTCAAGGAGGGTCAAAACCGTTGTAAGGTCATTGGTTCAAATATCACTAGCTACAATTTTCTTTAACTTTTTTTTTTGAATCCCCTTAGCAGAAATCATGCCTCCGCCGATAGCGGAGTGTTGGCCAGTCAAGAACTCTCATATGCAGAAGATGAAAGTAGCATAAATGAGGATGTTGAGATGGATGTGTGGGTGTACGAGGAGGGATAAGATTAGGAATGAAGTTATTCAGGACAAAGTGGAGTGGCCGCCGTGGAAGACAAGATGCGGGAGTCGAGGCTGAGATGATTCGTGCATGTTAGAGGTGAAGCATTGACGCACCTGTTAGGAAGTGTGGGAGATTGACTATGGCGGGTTTGAGAAGAGGTCAAGGCAGACCTAAGAAGTACTGGGGGAGGTGATTAAGCAGGACATGACACGACTTCAGCTCACTCAGGACATGACCCTTGATAGGAAGGTGTAGAGATCGAGAATTAGGGTAGATGGTTAGTAGGTAGCTGAGAGTTTCCTTCTTTCTTGCTAGTAGTACTAGTAGATCTATATTGCATCATGTTATTTAATTTGTTTCGGTTATCGTATTCTCTTGTTGTTGCTCCCCTCCCCTCCCCTCCCCTTCTTTCTTTTTCTTCCTCTTTTCCTCTTTATCATCTCCATCTTTCTGTGCCGAGGATCTATTAGAAACAGTCTCTTTATCTTCACTGAGTAGGGGTAAGGTTTGCGTACACATTACCCTCCCCAGATCCCAAATATACTGGGTATGATCGAATCGAATCGAATCAGGACCAAATACAATGCTTATACTCTCCAATTTAAAACTTAAAGCTTCCATAGAAGTAACATTAAAAAAATACATTACCTCCTCAGCTAAGACACCGGTGTATTGTATCTGCCTCAATAGAAACAACAAAAGAAGAAAAGAATGAGTAAGAGCACTGCTGATAGGGCCAGGAGGGAATGCAGAAAACAGTCATCTCAAATAGGGAAAGCAAGTCTAATAATGCATAATACTGGAAAAACCGCCAAAAGGAATTAAGTGAAGACTCTATGTTTTAAAGGAAAATGTGAAACAGAGAAAAAAAATAGCTCCTTAAAGACGATCCAGGATTTGAAGTTTATGGGTTCCTACACAAACCTCAAGTAAATATACAATAAGTAACTGGGTTCACAATCAAACAATTATAGATATTTAGTAGATTTTTTAATACATATACAGGGTGATGCTTAAAGAACCCACACCTATTAAGCTAGATCTGCCCCTGCTTAAAGAAGATCTCCCCCACCCCGGCCCAAACACTATGGTATCAGCTCAGGATTATAATTTGCCAGAAGCAAACATATAATGGAGGTTGTGTAGAACATAAAAGATAATGGTGAGGCAGTAAAGATGATATACTTACTCGAGCTGTGAAATTAGACAGCAAAGGAGATGCATTGACCAAAAAGGTGAAGAAGAGTAGGCTTTCACAAGCTGCCAACATAAAGTCCAATTCCAACACCCTTAAATTGTCCAATCTAGGGAAATTATCAGGGTGACTCGATGTGAGCCTACTCCACAAAGTCTGTGGCAAGAAATTTATAAGACTTGAGTTCAAAACACAAAACTGAAATGGTTCTTCAAGGAAAATTAAGAAGAAAAAAAGGGTGTGTGTGTGTGTCAAAATGACGTTACAACCTGAGGAGGCACTATTAGTCTAAGCTTTCTCAGCTTAGAGGAATAGCGTGTGTGCTTGTCCGCATCAAAGATAAAAGAATGACAATACTGATGTCCGATTGATAGCTCAGATAACTTGGGTAGATTCTGAAAAGGCACAAGTATATCAGGTCCAATATATGTAAAAGACTCTAGATTTGAAGCATCAACCTCCAGAACCTGGACATTGTAACACCGTGATATTTCCATGAACTTCAAACTAGGAAGTGCACCCGTAACTTTCAAATTCTGTAGACATTTAGAACCTGAAACACGTACTTTCTCGAGGCATGGACAATTGGATAGAAAAAAATGAACGACTTCTTCCTTAACACCGATATTAACTAGGCTAAGTGATTTTAGATTACAACAAAATCTGGAAATCTTTAGCTTAGACGACAATTTCTCAATGTCAGGAAAACAATAATATCGCAATCCAACACCAAATCCACCGCCAGTTGCTAAGTTCAATTCAAATACTTTGACTTCTTTTTCAATGGCAAATTTAATCCAGTGATCAAAAGTGAAAAAACTACCACCAAAGCAAAAACCAACTCGGAATTGATCTAAAGTTGGACCTTGGTGCAATTTCAAAACATGATTTACCAACTTCACAAACTCATGTTCTACATTCGGATCTCTAGTGCTTTTATCCCTATCATAAATCTCAAGACAGCCAGAGGTATACTGCCATAAATATCTCCATCTACGAGAGACAAGACAGGTTGTTGCTGCTTTCTTTACTGATAAATATGAAAGAATTGCCACAAGCAACTCATCGGACAATGCGTCAATCTTACACTCCATCGGATCCTACACATAAAAAGGCAACAATACTATCAATAAAATAGTGTCTTTAAAACTTAATATTTTACATATATATGCCGTATAATTTTCGACGAATGGGGTCATCTGTAACTTAGCCCCTGCCCCCCGACCCTGCCCCACCCCAAAAACCCCCACAAAAAAGGTGGAAACCAGAATTACCTGTTGGAGCCGAACATGAGAGGTACAAGTACAATATTGTCCATCTCTCATTCTTCTTTGTTATTGTTTCGATTTGTAGGGTTTGATTAGCTCAGGAAATTGGCTTCTATTTAACTTTTAACTCCCCTTAAAAAGGTTTTGCAATAATAAACTCCTTACTAAAAATTTGGAGGCACTTCCTTGTGGATAACCAGAACTTTAGTAAAAAAAGGTTGAAAATTTTAACTAATATTACGAATTAACAATGCCTTTTACCGAATAACTTTACTCCTAACTGCAATAGGTGATAAAATTAAAACATGCTTGAAATAATATTTCATTGATTTGGTATTAACTAAATAAATTGAATCAATCTCTAATCGAATTGACAGTGCATTTGTCCCTTTATAAATTTTCTATCATGTATAATTTATGTTTGTTATTAGATACTTCTAATCACGTGACGATGTTATTGAATCACGTGACGATGTTCTAATCGGAGTAAATGAACAATTAAACCTATTGAAGTAGTTAATGGTTGACAGTTAACACGTTGATATCTTAAACAAGAATCATTGTGAATAACAACAAATTTAATTAATAATTATATACTATTTTTCAAAATAGTAACATGCAGCATCAACTCTGTTTTCTTCGTTTTGAGAATATAAACTATATAAATGTTCTCATAAAAAAAAAAAAAGAATGTTTGCACAAATAGCTTGTAAAAATTACTGTTTACTTTTTAAACCGATATTGTAAAAAAAAAAAATTAGCCCAACCATGGTGGATGGGCACTTTGGGTGTGCCGCAATGAATTCGTTGTCAAATTCTCAATTGAACTGCTAACGCACCCATTGTGGGTGTGCATATTTTTATCACCAGAATTCATGGCAAGCACACCATTGTCGGGTGTTGTTTCATGATACCACATTGCACCAATTATTCCTCCATCCGTATCTTATTTTTTTGGTTTTTCATTTAATGTCCGATGCCTATTTTAAGGCTCTATTAGTATGGATTTAATGTCCGATACCTATTTTAAGGCTCTATTAGTATGGATTTGCGTCGGAAAGTTTTACTATGAGGTAAACCGCACCCCTTTGCGTCGGAAAGTTTTACTATGAGGTAAACCGCACCCCTGCTTAAGCGACTTCATTCCCAGAAAAAATCAGAATAATTGAGGAATATTTACACTCCACCAAAAGCTTAGGTGGTCATTCGCACAGTATACTTGTGCTTATTCTACTTCTGTTCTGAGTTCATTTCTTCGTTTTAATTTACATTTTTTCCTAAAGTAGGTCACTGGAAAACTGAAAAAAGAGCTCATCCGTGAGATTTGAGTTCTGAAATTATGTGATACAGATCGAGTGATATTATATCCTTACCTTACAGCAAATGAGCAAATAGGTTGAAGACAATAATTAAACTATAGATGTCCTCTCTTTTAAACATGTGCGCAAACAAAGCATTTGATTAGTGATGTTGGTGGAAGACAATAATTAATATACTTGCCATAATAAAAGCAGGGCAATAATAGGAGTATTATTCATATCTTGTTGAATTATTTCATACCAATCATGTCTTCCCCATCAGTTGTTATCCTTAGAGCTTGCTACGTTTGGCTCAAATTCTATACATAGACGTGTGTATAAAGTTGATATACACTTTAGTGTCCGTACATTCAACTAACAACTCTTTTATTATCCATACTTTCAACTCCGAACTCAAAACGTTATCCTGAATTTGCCACCAATAATCGTCTAAATCCAGAATTCTCCACTGATAAATCATCTAAATCCTGAATTCGCCACCATCAAGTGGACAATGGTCTCCCTTTAAGATACAAGCACCATTTTGCTTTTTGAAGTACAGAACATGTACCACGGTAAGATCATTTATTCCATTCAAGAAGTTTCATGTCTAAGTCCAAACTTCTAAATAAATGTTTAATAAAATCCCTAGGAGACTAACACATCAAGTCAAAATTCAGTTCCACTCCTCATTTGGAGGGAATCATTAATTTCTACATTCCTTGCTTGAAACAAAGAGATAGAGGCATTAAGCACATTCACCATTCAAGCAGAGGAACTCGGGTGCAGGCTTTCAGCTTACTTGTTGCTGGTGAGTCCCGTACATCGGATAAGCCCCATAGGCGGCAGCAGCTGCAGCGTACATCCCTGGGTCATGCGGTGGTGGGAATGCATACCCATAACCATCATAAAAATGTCCCCCATAGTATGGCCCAGTCCACTGGTTTCCAAAATCACCTCTTGACTGCAATATTTCATAGGTGGAGATTTGAGTAATGCAATCAAATATCGAGACATGTTAAAGAATCTGGTGCATAACATCTTAATAGGTGCAATTTGTCAGAGATTACATATCAATAGCCTCCCGCCACCCTCAGAAGAAGGGGGAGGAGGAGCAAGAAAATTGATAAACCTTACTGCATATGTTCAACAATATGTTATTTCAACACCCTAGTGTTTTCTCAATAGCGTATGCAATATGATAATAGATAGTCCCACTTCTACCAACAAGCATAGATTAAAGTTTCTGTAACTCAAGCGAATGTTGGACACTAGAATAACTATGAGAGATACAGATGCTAGCCACTGGTAACAAGTTCTAAGCATTAGTACATCTGTCCTGGAGATTCTTTTTTTCTCCAGACATAAAATTCAAAGAAGCAACAGAGCGGAGACAAAGAGGTCATGCAATAAAAAGAATCTGGTGCAAAGCAGCTTATTTGGTTGCAGACGATTTATCAGAGGTTACACATATCAAAAGCCTCTCAGAAGAACGGGAGGGAACAGTAATTAAAATTTTGATAACCTTACTGAATAATAGATATTCCCACTTCTACTGACAAGCATAACTAGGAGTTCAAGTTAAGCAAATGCTGGATAATAGAGTAACTATGAGACGTGACAGGTGCTAGCCACTGCATTCATGACTTGTCCTAAGCATTTGCTTGGCTGTCTTGGAGATTCTACTTTATCCAAAGACAAAAACTTCAAAGAAGCAACAGAGAAGAGATAAAGAGGTGATGAAAGAAAGAATACCTGTTTATTTGCAGGGTTTCGTCCCCAAGAAAGGCGCACTGTTTGCTTGCCAATAGCAGTTCCGTTCAGCTTCTGTAAGGCTTCCTCTGCATCGTTCCTGGCATAACAAATTATGGAGATTTGTTACTGAACATTTACTCTCTAATAAGATACCTAACGAAGAGAAAACTCAAAACCAACAAGCTACCTGTTCGCGAATTGCACAAACCCACACCCTTTCCCAACTGGTATTTTTACAGAAACTATTTCACCGTACTGTGCGAAAGGCTGTCTAAGATCTTCATCACTGACATTGGGGTCTAGCCCTCCAACAAAAATCTATGATAATATTGGTTAGCCAAAGGGACTAGAAAATTAAAAAAGAAGAAAGAAAAAAGAATGGACTAGTTAAAAAACTGTTGTATTTGTAGAATCTGCATCAGGTTGTGATCCTTGAGCTGGTCCACCGTTGGAGTATCCACCTATCAAATGCAGTTAGACACAAGTATTAAATGCCATAAGAACCATCAACATGACTACCACAACATCCACAGTCAGTGTTTGAAAGTAACGAACCATGATCTGAAGTTTACACTATAATTACGACAAAACAGCAAAAGAAAAAACAACCAACAACCTGCAATTTATGGAGAACTGCAGATGAAGTGCAATTGGAAACACAGCCTAATGTATTAATAAGGAAGGGAGCACATTAATTTAGTTTCCTGCTCTAGAAAATACAAACGTCTTATCAAGTTACAAGAAATCTCATTCGTGCTTTCACTTTTACGTGCCAAATAACAACCTGACACATACTGCCACCAACTAAAGTAATCACTTTTATCGTAAAAATTTCACCTAAAGATGACCATTACAAACAAAGATGACAGTTACAAACACAACCTCAAGAAAGAAGCGCGTGTTTCTTGCTAATTGGAGTGAGAAAGGAGTTCATCTCTTTTATCTCTTCTTCAAGAATTAAATTTTGTTAGCTAAACCATGTAGAATGTAGAAAAACATGCATGCTTCAAGGTTAACTTTGAAGAACGAAATTGCTAGGCACTTTTATGTTCAAATCATCACTCTGAATGAGTATACAAATATCAAAGACAAGGCAGGAAGTTGATTAGAGGAACCAAATTCAGTGACACTCTTTTGAAGTTACTAAACTAGAAAATTAAAAGAAGAAAGAACGAACTTTTGACTTCACGGCATTCGTGAAAGGAAAATGTGTAAGAACAAAGTTCCTTATCACCCTTTTTACGGGTAAAACAGCTGTAAGATGCAACTAGGCAACTCGTTTTTCTTTCCTTCACAACGGTGTGACTGTTTATTGTTCAGAAATAAAAGAAACTTGAAAGAATATCAACAATTTATGCCAACAAAGCTATCTAAAACTACATCGGTCATTACCTTGAGAAGAATATTGTTGTTGGTATCCTGATGATTTCCGTGGTGTGGCTGCACCAATTCGCATGGGCCTGCTTGAACAATACACACCATTCATTTCAGTCATAGCTTGAGACCTCTCATTATCATCTCCAAACCTTACAAAACCATATCCTTTTGAACGACCAGTGTTGGCATCGAAGACAACTTTAGCAGCTTTAACAGAAGGATATTTTGTCGCAAAAGTTTCATGCAGTAAGGTATCAGTAACATCTGCAGCTAAATCTCCTACAAAGATGGAAAGATCAGAACCGTTGTTTGCTCGCTTGTCACCCATGCTGAATGTAGCCCAATTCAGACGGAAAGGTTGATCCACATTAGGCATTGTCATGCAAGAATATGTCT